TCATCATTTCTGTCGTTAAGTTTTACCTTGCAAGTAAATAAAACCGAGTAATTATCATTCTGTGTTTTCTTCTTCAACTTATCACAGCAATAGTAACAACAATTAGGTAATCATTGGCTGTCGCGGGCCAGATTGATGACAGTAAATCATTGGCTGTCGCGGGCCGGATTTGGCCCGCGGGCCGTAGTTTGGAGACCCCTGACATAGATGATGAAAAGCATGGGATCTGTGGCAGTTCTTTATGGTACTTCATGCTCCGCGACTAAAAAATCGGACACTTTTTTCCCAGTTCACTCTGGCTTTCCTAACTTTGAGGTATGACTTGAACAGATTCACTTGGCTTCCCCTAATCCCGTAATAGGTACTCAAGTTTTTCGATCATAATCTTATGATCGGAGGCACTTGAAAGGTCATAGAACTTTGCAGAACAGTATTGTTGTTATTCAAAAGCATCCAATACTTTTTCACAAGCGTAATATAGGACAATAACTGTGGATTTTCCAAATCTATACCTATAGGTACTGAAAATTGGTAGGTAAGTAACTTGTTCTTTTCAAAGAATTTGAAAACTTGTTGAGATCATGTAAATTCAACGTGTTAATGGCTCAATGATAAAGTCACTGATCACTTTTATAATCATAAATACTTTGAAAGAAGAGTTTTTCGGACTATGATATTCTCAATCTCCAAATGTGTCACCAAATCATCAACTACATTCACAAATCATCGAGAGAAATCATCTGCTGATGAATCAGACATGGCCAGACCCTTTTCCTTGTTTTCTCTATTGCTATCAATGACATTCCAGGTGCTTATTAATAAATAGAATTACTTTCCAGTTAAGACTGTTTAATTTTTGCTTATATTCAAGTTTTAACTTTTTGTATGCTTTAATATCCTCTTCATTTTTATTATGCAGTCATATGTCTGCATAGCATATACTCCTTGATAGCTTTCGAGTTAGTCAAGTTAAAATCAAAAACTATACCTCGAATATTAGACGGGTGAGGTTCGATTACTTCAACTGAGAAATTTTCATTAATATTGGTGAAAATATTATGAATTCATGTGCTATTTTTCGGAGTAAACTAGTGTCTTCAACTACCTTATCAGCATAACATATCATTTTAGTAGTTGTTTACTTCGCTGTCACTCAGATTAAAGTTCGAGGCCAGGCTTCCCATAACGGCTCACATTTTTTTTTATTAATATTTTAATTCTAGTAAACTTGGCAGCGTGTTCTGTGCAGAATTCAGACAAATCTATATATACTCAAGTTCAGGTAAAAACCTACGATTTTGTAGGTACGTGTGGCAGATAGGTACCTGATGGAGAAACAACAACTAACTCAGTTAATACCGCACAGAAAGCTGAAGTGAAACCATCAGGAACCTGTGCAACATCTTCCATTTGACCACACAAAACTGATAGAACTTAAAACAAGTTCTGTTAAGCCAGCAACGTAAAATACCAAAATCGCATTTAGAAAATGCCAAAATTAGGTACTTTTTAGGTACCGAAGTCAAAAATTAGGTGCTCTGTAACTTACACCGTAACTCTATACTCAAAGTTGCGTTGCTAGCATTAAATGATGAAAATAATAATAAAATAATGAATGTTAAGAAAACACTATTAGGTGCTTATTAAGTGCTAAACGGTGACGATAGTAAAATTTTCTAGTAAATAAACAAAAGCTTCCAATTTCGCTAAACAACAGATCTAAGAATCAGGTATCTCGAAAACGAGGACGAGTGCTCAATTAGGTGTGAACTAAGTGTGGTAAAAAAGTGCTAATTAGGTGCTTGCAAGAAATTAAGATAAAAACGACCGTGAATCAGCGAAAAAAAATTCGGGATACCTGATTTGAAAAAAAATTAACAATATGCAATAAAGTTTCGAAATGCTCGTAAACTAATACATATACAATCAAAATGAAGTGCTAATTAAGTGCTCACTAGATATTCATGGTAAACCTAGATTCTATAATGTCTATGAGGCTCATGGAACTTAAAACCACCATGACTGATGTACTGAGTTTTTATAGTACGTTTCTCAATAAATAAGAGCAAGAGGAAAAAGTGCTAATCAGGTGCTCAGTAGATATTTATAGTAAACCTAGATTCCATAATTGCTATGGGGCTCATGGACCTGAAAACCACCATGACTGATGTACTGAGTTTTTATGGTATTTTCTCACTATAATGAGGGCATTAGAATAAAGTGCTAATTAGGTGCTCACTGAATATGCATAGATAACCTAGATTTTATGATAGCCATAGGGCTTATAGACTATAGACATCATCAGAAAAAACAATCAAGCTGAAAATCTAAATTTCAAATATTCTTTCATTCCTATTGTCCCTGAATTGTCCAGCGAAATCATAAACGTATTTAAACAAGAACAACATAAAAATTTCACAAAAGAAAGTTGAACCCTTAATTAAACTATATTCAAAATTGAAAGATGAAGATCCGTTATTCGAAAAGTCACATGTAGTTTACGAAATTCTCTACAACAATTGTGATAAGATATATATAGGACAAACAAAAAACGAAATTCTTGTGCTCTAACACAACACGTTTTAGATAATGATCATTCAGTCGATTATACTAACACCAAAATTCTCCATTTCGAACCAGATTCAAATAAAAGGCAATTTCTTGAGATGGCTGAAATTAAAATTAAAGAAAACAATATCAACAAAAAGACGGACATTGAAAACCTCAGCAAAATTTATTCATTTTTACTAACAAAAAAAATTATAACAAAAAGTATTCCACATCATTCAATGTCGAAATTGTCATTATCATATATAGTAACAACAATTAGGTAATCATTGGC